AAGACTCAATTTATCTATGTTGGCTTAGTGGGACTTAAATTCTCCATGTATATTTCTTTTTAATCATTCTTAATTTCGATTAAGCCTTCGAAGATATAATATGAATAAAAAAAAGTCCTTAATAATTTAAAATATTTAGATGGATTAATTTAGGTACTTGAAGATAGTGTTCTAAAATGCATGTATATGCTCGATGCATTTTCGAAACACCTCGTATATGGTGTATGTGCGTGATAATGTGGTTAACCCGTTTCGTTGACCACATATGCACGCTTAAATATCAAAATGTGCATATATATATATATGTTAAAAATTGTGTCAAAATTAGTATGGAAAAGCTAAACCTGTTTTTATATTAAAAATGAAAAAAAGCAAATTGAGCTCAATAAATATGAAATTAGCCCAAATCATCCAAGTCCGTAGATCACATACAACAATATATAAGATTTTGATGTTTAAATAAATCAAAATCAAAATCCAAATCAAATTTTTTGTAGAGTTGAAATAAGGGAACACAATGGAGATGATTTCGTATTGAATGAAACAAAAGATGATTTCGATGAATAAGAGGAGATTTAATTAGAATCAGATAAACAATTAAAAAAGATTTGAAAATTTTTAAGTCAACATTCGTGTCTAATCTAATTGTAAGAATTGATTACCAAGTAATTGCAATATTTATGATTTTGAGCAATATATTTTTGTTGAAATTTTGAAAAAAAAAAAAAAATTAGTTTAGAGATTTTGTTATTTTATCTATTTATTTGTTTAGAATATTTAAAATAATATTAAAAATGAAAAATATATAATTACGTATATGCTTCGTATAAGCACGTATATGCTTGTAATTTTTGATGCTTGATCGAAATGCATGATCCATTTTAGAATCTTGCTTGAAGTTCTAATTCTCAAGTCTTACTACCTCTTTATGAAAGGTCCATGAATTAGACTTCTAAGTGAATAAATGAAGTTTGGTAATAAATAATATATTTCTCCCACACGATTTAAACTTTTAAAGAACTAACAATGAAAAGGTTGGACAAGAAAGGTTTATTTCTTTGTGTTGACCGGATATCAATTTTCATGGCCATTTGAACCACATAACTAAGGGTGGGAAATTTTTCGACAATCAATTTTAATTTAAACTGGTTTTGTGCTCTCAGAACTAAGAATTAAGCATTTCTAGTCCAGTTCTTCATTTATCTTATTAGAATTGATAATTATTCAATAAATTTATATTACTTTTTTTATAATGTATAAATAGAGCATCGGAATAGAACCACTAAATTCTAATTTATTCAATAACTACACGTATAACCAATTTATATTCAATTTTCATCACATTTACATTGAATCAAATCGTGCATGACACTGCATATAATATTTAGTCCGCATTTTTTTATGACAGGGTAACCAGCTGTCCCTACCCTTCAGATGTTCATTGGGTAAACTCTCAGGTTGATGCAATAGTCTGCAAATCACGCCAACTAGGTAAATCGCACTAGGCAAGTCCTGTATGATAGGCTCGATCGAGAAAATGTTGATAAGGGGAATCGAACTCGTGATCAAAAGTCTCCGCACTCACCTAACCTACTCCACCAACTCGACCATCCTATGAGGGACATATTTAGTCCACATTTTACTGGATACTAAGTCATTGTTTGGCTCCCATTTTATGGAAATGAAAATTGATGGAATAATGTTTTTTAGATAAATGAGTGGTTGAAAAAGAATGAAAAATTCTCGATCTATGTGTAATATTATTTTATAAAAAATTGTATAGTTGAAAATAAGAGAGAAATAAATAAAATGTAATGAAATGAAAATTAATGAGGAAAAAAGGGGAGTAAGATTGTTACTGAGATTATGTTGTCTCACTCTCCTAGACAAAACTTATCCATGTCTAGCATAATTTTTAACTCAACAAAGAACCTTAAAATAATAAAAATAAAAGGGTGCCGGGGCCCCACACGCAAACGCGTGGTGGAGCAGTTTCCATAAACAGTGACTTTGAATTGGTCAAACTCCTAGCCGTTAATCTTTTTTCCCTCCCAATTCTCACTTTGTTCTCTAAAAGGTTTCCACGAGGACCCTACCATTAATATCATTTTCCCTCCATCCTCTAGTGGGAAGATGTTTCGAGCTTTTCGATGAGATGAGCCAGTATAACAAATATAATTTTAATATTTAGTATAATTCAATTTACTTTATTGAACATACCATCAACATGAGATTATACTTACTCCGGTAAATATTTTTAAGTTACATGAGTAATTTTGTAGTTCAAGTGGTATTCTAATATTAGTTTTACAATTTGTAAGCTAGAAAAATGTTTTTTTTTTTAAAGCTCAATCTATTGCGATACTTATTTATCAAAAGTCATTATGATTGTTAGAAAAATTATGGTCTGTTGGGGCACATCTCGAGATTTACCCCCCTCATGATATTCTTGGGGCAGGGATGTAGGGATCCTCAAAGTTAGGGTACAACCTTTGTCCTCGGGGCATAATTCAGTAGTGCAAAGGATATGAGTGAGGTAGTCTCAACTTTACTGGCAACTGCAGTGTGAGGCTTCGATTGTCGAAATATGGAATTTGACTCTTTGTGGGTATCAGTGTACGGGCAAACTCTTATTCCCTGAATTGTTGGGGTACATCAGCGATTTACCTCTCTCGTGACACTCCAAAGACGGGACGGTGGGGCCCTCAAAGTTAGAGTTCAACCTTTATTTATCCATGTCATCATGACTGTTAGTTTCATGTTGAAAATAATGCAAGTAAATAGAATTTATCCTTATATAACAGTTTGTGCTTTTAGAAATATTGATCCAACATGGTATCTCATCAAACAAATGTCTCGACTGACAAAATTTTATCTCTCTTTTGGGGTTTTATTTCGAAGGTTAGAAAATGTGTTGTGGATAGATCACTCTCACACCATGACTATTCATTTACAAAAACTCTATAAGACTTCAAACTTGTATTCGATAAGGTCAAGTGAAAACAAAATATTACTATATAAGTTATTGTCTAGCACTTAAAATTTGAGATGAAATGACTCTACGAGACATGATTACAATTATGTAAAGATTCCACCAAACAGGGAATTAGCAACTAAGCTTGACATTGAAAAAGTACAAAATGCTTTAAAGTAATGAGTTCATACATCATAATTTAGGTACTAATTCCCTGTTTGGACAAATAAAATATACCAAGATTTTTTTATATATGCTATTCTTATTCAACTCCTTTTCTTTTTATGGGAGTCAAAAAGGAAGAACAGGAGCATGTACTCTCACAGGAAAAGTCATAAAATCTAATCATTTCAGCCTTAATAATCTTATCTTTTTAATCTGACCATCAATTTATAATACATGTTTATTCATATTTATACCATACATATGAACCTTAAAAACTTTTAATGTATGATCAGATTTTTTATTTAATTATTTATGTTTATGCCTTACAAATCTTATTACAAACTTTTAATAAAGGAATTTATTTTCGACATTATTTATTGAATAATATTATTATTTTGTCTCGGATGCTATCTTAGTCGCATGTCGTTTTTGTTGTATTAGAAGAATTTGATAGATGAGGTTCAGTGACCTGCATCAAACATGTTTTTCCCAACCAAAAGAGTTGAAAATTATGTAGGTGTGAACCAAGGACAAATTGGTTGGTCCAAAATCCAAATCTAAACGTACCTAAATTAATTCAACATTTGCAAACTAGCCTTTTTGGGGATAGATTTCAAACCTCTTGTTTAATAAACACAACAAATTGAAATTAAGGCAAAAGATTGAATTATTTAAAAAAAAAAAAAATTAAGAGTCCAACTTGTATATAATCTTGATAATTCAAGAATAATGTCATAAAATAGAACAAACCCTAGAACCTCAAAAAATTTGCCCATTTCATTTCTAAATGCAAGTGTATATGCTTGAATATATCAATAATGATCCAAGATTGTAATGTAAACGATTTTTTGTGATTTGATTTTCTTTAAAAATGTTGATTTCTTGACTTTTGCTATTCCCACCTTTTGTTTTATTAGCAAATTTATCTTCACTCAATAAATCATGCAATGAAATATTGACAATTCTTTTGCTCAGAAGAATCCAAAAATTGTTTTGCATACATTTACACGAGCTTCTTGTCATTGAATTGTGTACATCATTTACATGTGAGCATGTGTCAGATACGTATACTGTCATCATGTATCCTATCAAGGCAATCCCGTACACTATAAAAGAATTGCTATTGATGTCATAAGTCCGCAATCTTTTTATGGGTCACTCTCATAATTTTGAAATTTTGCAACTCTGTCCCAAGGACTTGGAAAGCAATGCACGTACAAGGATGTATGAGAATTATCTAATAAAAGCGTTCAAATTCTCGAGTCAACTATACAATTTAAATATCATAGTATAAACATCCATATGTAATAAAGTTCACGTACCTAACTCATTACTATAGGACTTCCTTACGACGCGATATTTGCCTCTCACCTTATACATTGCATATCTCAATTACCATTCGGCATTATGAGACAAGCTAATGGTCCCTCAACCTAGGCTCAGAAGTCACTAACCACTCTTTGTTTCAACATTATTAGAGAATTAAACCCAACACATCCTAATAGCTAGATGCATATAATAAATAACGAACCAGTATGGATTGTGCGTATATTGAATAAGTTCTAGTAATGTTTATTCTCCGATAGATGACATACCAAAATTAGATGAAATTTCTACATAAGAGGAAACTTTCAACAAACAGATAGTTACTATGCAAAGATTAAAATTTGTATCATTTCCTGCAAATTAAATCGACAATTTACCATAGGATGCATGGTATGACAAATATATCGATGAGGTTAATTTCTATACACAACAGGTCACCGATGAATCATGACTCGTCACAGCCTCCAACTTTCCTCCATGGATTCACATTCTCAACATCCTTCACAGTAAAAGTGTCCTCGTGTACTAAGAATCTATTAGCATAAAGTTAACTGCTAGCCACACTTGACCTTTTCATGCTTTTGGCCTTCTCTCTGTCTCTCTCCAACCATATACGTCCATGACCAAAAAAGTAAAAGATAAAAAAGCAAACTGCCCGCTTAAAAACCACTTATAAGAAGTGTAACAGCCCCATAAACACATTCTTTCTTTATGTGCTAATATATTATCCAAAGTTAGACAAAACTCAACAATAATGGAAGATCAGTGCAGTCCTCTTAGCTGGGCTTACTACTATCAAGAAGAGGTAAAATTCTTTTCCAGAACTTGTTCTTTTCTATACTTTCATATTTTCTTATTCGGGTATAAAGACTCTAACTAAGTTTTATGCTGGTGGTTAACTTCCTGAACAGGGTTAAAAAAGGGTTTCGTGTGCAGGACCAAAAATTATTGGGAATTAACACTTAGTTTGTTGTTTTTGTATTTTTTTTGGTTTGTAATGTGCAATGTGCCATTTGATTATCAAGAAATTGCAATTTCTTTATGTTATTATGTTTTCTTCTGTTTGTGTATGAAGATTCGGACAAAGTTTTTAGTGATGTAATTAGGACCCAAATTTACTCGAAATATAAGGCTTAGTTTTGTGGTTTTTTCTTTTTTGCAATTTTTCATAATTTGTAATGTGCATTGTGCCACTTGATTTAGGGAATTGAGGACTTGAAGCATTCTTTCTTGTACTCGACATTGGAGCTAGAGACGGGCATCCTGTCTGCACATGAAGAACTTTCAAGAAAAGATGATGAAATTCTCCATCTCAAGAATCTCTTAACAAAGATTGTAAGAGAAAGGGATGAATTCGAAGGAAAATGCCAAACACTTATGATGGAAAAGCAGCTTATTTTTCAACAAGTAGAAATCCAAAAAAAGCCCCCAAAACAGAACATAGAATCTGCACCTTCAAGTGGAACTAACAGCAATGAAGATGAGAACAACATTGGACTTCCCTCTGATTGTGATGAAAACAACTTTGTACCATCACCATTGCCGGAAACATTTTCCGAGGTTAAAAAAGGGTTTCGTGTGCAGGACCAAAAATTATTGGGAATTAACACTTAGTTTGTTGTTTTTGTATTTTTTTGGGTTTGTAATATGCAATGTGCCATTTGATTATCAAGAAATTGCAATTTCTTTATGTTATTATGTTTTCTTCTGTTTGTGTATGAAGATTCGGACAAAGATTTTAGTGATGTAATTAGGACCCAAATTTACTCGAAATATAAGGCTTAGTTTTGTGGTTTTTTCTTTTTTGCAATTTTTCATAATTTGTAATGTGCATTGTGCCACTTGATTTAGGGAATTGAGGACTTGAAGCATTCTTTCTTGTACTCAACATTGGAGCTAGAGACGGGCATCCTGTCTGCACATGAAGAACTTTCAAGAAAAGATGATGAAATTCTCCACCTCAAGAATCTCTTAACAAAGATTGTAAGAGAAAGGGATGAATTCGAAGGAAAATGCCAAACACTTATGATGGAAAAGCAGCTTATTTTTCAACAAGTAGAAATCCAAAAAAAGCCCCCAAAACAGAACATAGAATCTGCACCTTCAAGTGGAACTAACAGCAATGAAGATGAGAACAACATTGGACTTCCCTCTGATTGTGATGAAAACAACTTTGTACCATCACCATTGCCGGAAACATTTTCCGACGTCCCATCGCAGGAGAAAATCGTGCCGAACAAGCCATTACCAGAAAAAGGTAAGTTCTTGCAAGCAGTAATGGAAGCTGGACCCCTTCTTAAAACTCTTATGCTGGCTGGACCCCTACCCCAGTGGCAGCACCCACCCCCCCAAATTAACTCCATTGACATTCCACCAGTCGCCATTTCTTCTCCAAGAAATAGTAATGGATTATTCAGTAACAAGAGGGCTCTGATGAACGGGGAATTAGGGCAAGATTTTTCACCCAAGTTTCAAAAAGTTGTTCACCAAAATCATCATTGACCTAACATAATTATTTAGCAAGCATAATCTATCCTTTTCATGCTGTTAAGCATGAAAGTGATGGCAATTATGTTACTAGTTAAAGTTTGTATATGAATGGTTTGTCATAGAAACCAAGGATCTTTAACTAATCTTAGATCAGAGAGTGAGTATTAAGTGGGCTCAATCAAGCCCCTTTAGCTTTTGGTTTGGATGGAGACTTAAGTCATTTTCCCCCTATTATTGGCTTGTTTGGCAACGTAGATGGTACCGATGGACAGGATTAAAAAAGAAAATACTGTTCAATTCTGCGTACTAAATAGGCCTTATATTTATTTTACTTTCCCCTCAAGTGTATCAGCAGGAGTTTGAGATTCTCCAATTGGTGGGGAATTTGGGAATTTTATATATATGATGCATACATTAGTGTATCTTGGTAGGTTTCGTTGTTGTTGACCTTGAGTCATCATTTGGAACTTGGAAGGATATATTTTAATAGAATTAGAGCTGTGCTTCATATATTATTATTTGCTTTTATGCCATGATTTTGATATAAACATGAGTAATTATTTATGAAAAGGCAAAATAGCAATAGAGGCTCGCAAACTTCTTATCCGAATTACAGTTTGGTTTCCGACCTAAATCGTGCCCTTCAGGCATTTTGGTTTGAATGCACATTTTGATCAGATTTTTGCTTGTTCAATAACGCTGGCTATAAAACACGATACTACTAAAAGAGAAAAAAAAGTTAAAATCTTGTCCATTTTATTTTTGTAACTAACTTATACGATTTTTTGGTTTGTTCAATAACGTCGATTGTAGCGAAGTACTCTAACTACTAAAAGAGAACGACAAGGTAAAATTTTGTCCATTATATTTCTTTGTATCAAACTTTTATGGATTTTTGGTTTGTTCAATAATATCGATTGTATCGAAATACTCAGACTAAAAAGAGGAAATAAGTTAAAATTATTCAATCCTACGTGCCAAATAAGCACTATATCTAATCTAATTTTCCCTAGAATATCAGATAAGGCTAGAAATTCTCAACAATGGTGAGTAGTTCTATATGAGTGCATACCTATGCCTTTTCACAGAGAAAATATATTAGTGTATCTTGTTAGATTATGTTATAGTAGACCTTCAGTTATCATTTGGAAGATGATTTTATTAAAAATAAAATTAAAGGTGATTTCATAGATTATTCTCTTACTTTTATGTCATGAACAGTGATTTTGATAGAAAAAGTAATTATTTTATGAACAAAATTATTCAAAGATACCAACTGATCTTACTTTCCATGAATGGTACCTACCATGCATGGCTTGTGTCTGCCATTTAAACTGCTTCTCATTAGACCACTCATACCTATCATGCAAATATATTTAAAGAAATGCAAATAAAGTTAATTCAGAACATATTACCATTTTCTTTTTCTTTTGTGTCAATTATCGTCTAAAAGTTTAAGCAATTAAAATTTATTATTAAATAAAAAATTTAAATGATATATATGTGACTTTCTTCAATTGTCTACACTTGTGGACAAGATGGAAAGTAATATCCCTAAGTTTAAATCATGCTTTTTTACTGAAATTGTACATGTCGCGTTTTGATAGGAAAAATGAATATGACCTGCACATGAGGGTGGCTATTGAAGGTAATTTAAATCATATATATGGTCATTTTCAACAACTAAATTTTTTATACCAAATGTTTTCAATATTTATCTTCAACATGCTCGTCACATGTAAGTATATTTGTTCATCAAAGCTTGATATGTGCACAAAATATGGTTGGTGAGACTTTAATTTAGATCTTTGACCTTCTTATGATAACATGTTTAACTGCGTTTGCGATGAACCTATTCCATCTTGTTTCCTTTGGCACCAAAAATCAATTTGGTCTGGTTTTCTTGTACCGCTATGAACCAATCGGCCTGTCGTAATTGAGATTGAACAGTTAAAAAGAGATAAATATATTTAGCTTTTATGTTTCAACAAATACATAATAATATATAATTTACAGATAGTAAGCTACTAAACCTTATCCACTGGGCCTACAATTAAGCTACTCAAGGCATAATAGCCAATGAAGAAAATGGTCACCAAAGTCACTGGATAATCATACTTATACCATTGGTGGCTTTTACAAAAAGACCCAAAATCAACACCAAGATTACAGAACACGGATTAATCACAAAGGCATCAAGTTCTCATTGATTGGGCTCAAATTAACCTTGTACCTGTCTGCACAAAGTGTATAAACTCAAAAGACACAGCCCTAAACCAAAGAATATAGAGGCAGTCACTAAAATGGTCCCAAAATCTCCAAACTTAATAGAAACCCTTTTCCAGTTCAAACTGAAGAATTACCAAGACTCCTCACTCACAAATTTACCAGAAAACCAGGAGTTTAAAAGCCAAAAAACAAGTTTCACAAAGAAGATAGGGAAAGACGCACAGTCACTTGAAAAAGAAGAGACCCAGAAGCTTCTCAAAGAAGCACTCCAAGAGACGAGAAAATGAAAGACCAAGTAGGGCAAAAGTCTTAGACCAAGAATATATAGGCAAGGTCGTCACCATAGATGCTAGGTTTAGGAGATTTGAGGGACCAAAGCGACATACATGTATTATCAAGTTTGGGCCAGGTCATAAGGAGTTCAACACAATGCGTTATTGGGCAAGGGCTCAAATAGTATCTGTAATTTTTAAAAATTTATCATCATAGTCAAAGTGAGCTGGACCACCTAGAATTATGGCATCACAGCCCAATAGTGGCAAACTTTTTGGTAAATAAATCCCCTTTCAATGTTTAAAAATGAACTTCTTATGCTTTCTATTATTCATAAGATACTCTTTATAAATATTGAGACTTTTGAAACTGCTCTAAAATAGGAGTCAAAAACCTTGTTTTAATATTTTTTCTTGTATTAAAATATTTAAGCACGAGAAGTTAACATTAAAGTATCACAATTACTTTTAAAAACTTAATAGTAGAACGAACTACACAAAATGATGCTAAATATTACTTGCTTTCATTTTTAAACACAAAATTCCCAACGAAAGGGATGCAATACAGTTGGTAAACTACTTTGCCAATGAAATTTTTCGCATGTGATTAGATTAATCTATTTTATTTTATTAATCATATTGCTTGGCTTTTAGAATATTCGAACATGAAATGAATTCAATCATTCTTGATGCACAATCCATTTTACAATAATATTGACAACATGCCACATGGTATGTTGTTATTTGACAGTTTAAAAAATAATTTATCTTTTCAACCAGCACTTTTTTGACACACACAACCTTGTCAACAATATTGTAAAAATACATTGTACAAATGATATTATCCTTTGAAAAGTTGATTTGCCTTTACTAACGGATTTTTTACAGGTTAAAGTTCGAAACAACATAATTACTCTTTCATTTACGGCTTTCGGTATGCGAGTGGTTGAAACTTTTTTAGTTTTTAAGATTGATTAATATTAACAACTATGTTCTATAGCTAAAATGGATACCTTTATATCTTCTTCAGATTATGCAGCCGCCCAAGGCAGTGCTGAAGAAACTTGAGAGCATCTTTGCCCGATTTCTATGGGATTCTAAGGATCAAGCACGACGTCTACATTGAAGGAGTTGGAAGGCGATTTGCCTTCCTACTGATGAGGGAGGCCTCGGCTTTAGGAGATTACAGGATGTGATGGACACCTTCTCCATGAAGCTCTGGTGGCTGTTCCGATCTCAGAGGTCACTTTGGGCTAAGTTTTTACTAGGCAAGTATTGTAAGGGGACGCATCCTTTACTTGCAGCAGTTCCCAGTTCAGCTCCCCCTACCTGGAAGAGGCTGAAATCAGTTGGACCACGGACGGATCCACACATTGCTTGGCACCTTGGAACCGGTCAGATTTTCTTCTGGCATGATTGTTGGATGGGCGAGTCCACGTTGGCATCCCTATTCCCCCACAGACAGCACACATCTGCGAAGGTACAGGATTTTTTTGACGAGACTGGGTGGGATTTTGGACGGTTATTACAGGCCCTTCCTTCTCGCATGGCGGAACAGGTAGGGGCGATACCCTTATGTGCAGATGCCACGGACCGAATTGTTTGGAAAATTACTTCGGATGGTGACTTTACCACCAAATCAGCATGGCAACTAGTTCGTTCGGTTCGCCAGCCTCAGGACTCATATCGACTGCTGTGGAGCTCTATCTTGCCTGCCACTATTTCATTCTTCTGCTGGAGACTGTGGCAGGATGTCATTCCAGTAGATGTTGTTATTCAGAGGAGAATTGGATGTCAGTTAGCTTCTCGTTGTCAGTGTTGTTCCGAGATTGAGACCATCAATCATATTTTCACGAGCAGCAGCATCTCCGACCAGGTATG